TGTGATAACTCAAATTGTTAGGAAACAAATTTTTTTTAAAAAAAACTCTTACACCACAGACTACCTTATTTCAGCATCCTCAACATGTTTACCCTTCAGCAGTAGTCATTTTCGACTGGACCCATTGATGCTCACTCTAGATTGATGACCAATAACAGCAAGCACATTTGTTCAGCAAAGTAAGGCAATTTCAGAATTTTTTTTTGAAACTAACGATGAAAGAGATAACTTTGCGCTCAACACTCGCTGTTTCCTAAATTCCTTCCCAATTCGAGTCAACCCTTCGTTTTTGGCGAAACAATAAAATTGAATGGCGGAAAAAAACTCTTACACCACAGACTACCTTATTTCAGCATCCTCAACATGTTTACCCTTCAGCAGTAGTCATTTTCGACTGGACCCATTGATGCTCACTCTAGATTGATGACCAATAACAGCAAGCACATTTGTTCAGCAAAGTAAGGCAATTTCAGAATTTTTTTTTGAAACTAACGATGAAAGAGATAACTTTGCGCTCAACACTCGCTTGTTTCCTAATTCCTTCCCAATTCGAGTCAACCCTTCGTTTTTGGCGAAACAATAAAATTGAATGGCGGGTAGACTGTAGTTGGATGCACAACCAGTCGGTTCACTTTTCCACTATTTGCTATTCTACACAGGGTCTAGTCTAAGAGTCTATACAAATGTCACGGCACGACTCCATTCAACGGACATTAATATTGAACAAACTTACTATGGCAGCAACGATGAATTTTCCAGAATTCAGTATGCACGATGCGCAAGTTCCTTTGAAAACATGAGCAATAGTTATCGAGATGCTTTTGCAACCTCTCCCAGAGTTTACAGCACTAGCAAAAACACATTCACTGAAATGAGTTTTGGAGCAGTTCAGGCAGTTTTTGGAGCCAGACGACCGCGAGATGGCACGCCATAAGTAGCCAGAAACATCGGGTACATTATTGTGGATTTCAACACGTCTTACATTGATGTGATCTTACAAACGCAAAGAGAAAAGAGGAAGAGGTTGGTTCGAACAGTTGATGCTGGAGTGACAGACAAACTGTCATGGTGTAACGTTGGATGAGGCATGCGAGTAGTACGTGTTTTTCCTATATCCGCTTCGCGTCTATTGGTAACTAAGATTCATTATGGAATTTGTGGAATTGCTTTGTAGCATTCGTTTACATTTGAATGATAGTCAATTAGTATCCAGGGATGTTTAGGGAGACGCTTTCAAAAAGAAGACGGATATTCAGTTTCTTATAAACAAGATGCATAGGATAGTCTTACTTTCCTGTCCGATAGTCTGAAACTGTTCAGTTGGTGTGTTTTCTAATGAATAACTCCGCAGCAAAGGCCTTCTTTTTCACGAAGACAGTGCGTTTTCTTGAATAATTGGATAGTGAAACATTACTGTGGTAATCAGTGGCCCGTGACCTACCACATGTTGAGTGATCTTGACCGCTTGCTTCTACGACAGTTTTGTACTTCACATTAACCACAGAACTAAGATAATCGGGGTGACACCACGAATGCTTTCTACGTTGTGTCCCCATTGCGCAGTTAGTCACCTGTTTTTAGGCCTAGATGACAGTCGACACCCCTTGCTTCTTTGTCCAGCAAACATGAGTCCCGCCTGATAAATCACCCCGTGCTTTTTAACCTGAGAAACCACAGCCGTATGTTTCGTTGATGGTAAGCTCAAGCATAAGTAACTAAAACAGAATAATCAAAAATGCTTTGCTAAATATGGTAATTAGGACACTGTCAGCTGATCATCACTGCACACAGGATAGCGTACTAAATTGGAACTAGAAAAATCCGTGTTCATTTTATCACCTTTATTCTAACATGGACTTATTTCTAGCCTTGGCTCACAAACGGGTAAAATGAAGCAGTTAGGCACAATTCACAGTGAACTCCGTTGTTTTAAATGTTGTGCTACAAAATATCCTTAGAAATTTCCTTGAAACAAAGACGTTATCTGGTGACACACGGTTTGCCGAACTCACTAGGTGCTACCATCTGAGCCAGTTCTTTTATTTTCAGAGTTTCAAACCGCCAAACTCAGTGCCCTCCTTCTTCAGACCGGCAGAACGACAATTGTGAGAAAAACCTTTCATTTTTTGTGGCCTATCCACAACTCTACATCGCAGTCTCCCCTGATTTGTATGTGACTTTATCTCATTCGCCCCTCTTAGGTTTCTGGACATCCACCAGTAAGACTGATCGTAATCTTAACCAGAAATTGGCTTCCTTTGTGCCAGTTCATTTCCCTCTATCGCTGTTAGAAACGATAAACCTGTTGTCCTGCAGTTTGAATTTGGAAAGCTTCATCCCTGGGTAAGGAAGATTCTAAAAAGTGAGGTGGTGTTCTGCATTCTTGAATTGAAGAAAGGACGCGGTATCTACAGGAAAAGTGTCAATCCTAGTACATCTTTGCAAAGCAGACATATCAATAATGGTCAAAGCACATCTTGTCAGAATGGTATGCTAAATGTATAGGTCCTGTATACAAAGCCCGCGATTCAGGATAAGATCTCACTGAATCTTCTTGTGCTTGGTTGGAGCGGCCACAAACTGAAATCATCAGCGCAAGTGTTACCACCAATAGCAACGTTTTGAACATTAAACAGTATACACATCTCCAAATATTGGTAGCAAGATTTCACTGGCCCATTCCGCTTTCATATTCTTTGCTTAGATACTTTTATAGACGGGTCCTATGAAAAAGAGCGACAGCTTCCACCGAAGTTTTACAATCTCAACTGATGAGGGCACAAATGATAGACATGGTGA